GATATTGGACTTCTCAGCCTCCAGAACCATGAGAAATAAATATCTACTCTTCATAAATTACCCAGTCTGTGATATTCTGCTATAGCAAAACAAAATGGACTAGGACACCAGTCCACATGTTTATACTGGAAAGTCCTTTTATGTTAGCAAAACCCTGATGCCAACAAATGGCAATGACAATACGAGATAAATTATAAAACGATTAAGACTATAGATCTAAAAGTCCTAAATGAAAAATTAAGAAACTGAATACAGCAATGTATTTTAAAAAATCATCAAAGCTACTTTGGGTTTATTTCAGGAATGCGAGGCTGGTTTAACACTAGAATACTGAATGATGTAATCCAGGGGTCAGCAAAAGTAGGAAATACTTTAGGCTTTCTATGCCACGTACAGTCTCTTTCACATATTCTTCTTTGGTTTTGTTTGTTTGCTTGTTTTGTACAATCCTTTAAAAATGCAAAAACCATTCTTAGGTCACAGGCCGTACAAACACAGGCCATAGTTTGCCAATACCTGATATTACTCAACATGCTAAAAGAATAAAAGAGAAAAATCATGTTTGTCTCAACAGATGCACTAAAATATATTTGATAATATCCAACATCCATTCATAATTTTTTAAATTATTCATAATATAGGAAAATAACTCCCCTAACCCAATAAGAATTATCAACTATGAACCTACAGCAAGCTTCTTTATGGAGAAATCTTAGATTCTCTTTAAGATTGGGAACAAAATAAGAATGCTTACCATCTCCACTTCTATTCAACATTGTATCCCAGCCAGTGCAGTAAGGCAGGGGGGAAAAAAAAAAAACTAAAGGCAATAAGGTTTGGTGAAGGAAAAACAAAACTGTTACTATAGAACAAATAATATAATTGTTTATACAGAAAACCCTAGAAAGTACAGATAAAGTACTAGAATTGACAAGAAAGTTTAGCAATGTGGCTGCATATAAGATTAACACTTCTATCTATTCACGTGTCAGTTACTTCACTGCTGTTATTCTTCCGGTTAAATTAGGCAAGCTTTCTTCCACAGAGAATTTTGTGTTAGCTTCTGCCTAGAGCAACGGGACACTACTGACCTGGAATTATCCCTTTCAAGTTATTAGGCAATTCCCTAATACAGGAGTCTCAGGTTCAAACTCCTGTCTGCTGGCAGAACCCAAAGCTTAGCATTGTACTTGCAGCACTGATAATGGTATTTGCCTCCAGGGAAAACCCAGCATCTGTTCACAGTGCTAACTTTGACTTCCACACACTGGGGTCTGTCAGTGTTGTTTGTTATATTTTTGTCCTGAAGATTTCCTTTAGTTCTTAATGTACTGCTGTTATTACAGGAAATATCTTATCCAAGATCTAGCTATATTAGAATGAAAGGCCTTGTGAGCATCTAGTTCAAAGTATGATTTATAAAAACTAATACATAGAAATGATTACAAAGAAAACCCCAAAAATGTTAACAGTGGTTGCTTGCAGATGATAAATCACGGTTAACTTGTTTTCTTTTCTTTATTTTCCATATCTTCTATTAGAGATCTAATGATCTTATTTTGTCTTTATAAAGAAGAAGAAATAATACACTTTATTTTAAAAAAGAAGTTATGCACAGGACACAGTAAAAAGAACTACTCTCTAAAGTATTACTCAAACAAACACCAAAGAATAATTATCAAGCATATATTTGCTTTTCAAACAGTATCGTAATTCACTCTCATAAAAATCTTGTAAGTTAAGTATTGTATCATTACCCCTATTTTTGCAGAAGAGGAATGGAAGCTCAGAAAGGTTAAGTAATTTGCCCAAGTGACAGAACTGAGATTTGGATTCGGGAATACTTGTTCCAAGGCCAGTGCTTTTTCCACTGAACCATGCTGCTTCCCACAAGAGAGTATTTTCATATTACCGCCTGTTAGTTCTAATTAAGAGATAGTAATTAAACAATTCTCCACTCTTAACAACAATATTTAAGCTATTGGCACTTTAAAGAAATTAATAAGAACAGCTCTTTATCTGCTGGAAGATATTATACTTAAACACAAACTACAAACTATTACAAAAAGAAAAGGACCCAATATAACACAGTTAGATGCTTTTCCAAAACGTAGTTAATAATATTATCTGTTAACAGACATAAAGCATAAAAATATTGTTTAATGACCAATATACTTATAAAAATGTTCAACTTAACTAATAAAGAAAGACAAAGTAACAATGACAAATCTATTTAATTGGCAAAAAGTTTGAAAATAGTAACAGCCAGGTTGGGCACAAAGTGCAATTCTCATATATCTTAGGAGAGAATGTAATTGGTAAAAACTTGCTGTAAGCCAATTAATAATAAACACACTTTAAAATGTATGTGGCTTTTGACCTAGTAATTCCTCATCTAGGAATTTATCCTGATGAAATAATCCCAGGTATGTGTATAAAATTTTAGCTACAGGTCTGTTCATCTTAGAATTACTTATGCAAAAAGGAGGAGGAGGAGGGGAAAGGGAAGGAGAGGTTGAAATGAATCTAAATCTACAATAATAAATTAAGTTAATAAATTATATACATTCAGGTGCTTAACAGAAGCTGGGGGGGGGGGGGGGGACATGTTGGTTAAAGGGTATAGACAAGGGCCGGCCCGGTGGCGCACTGGATAGTGCGCCGCTTGGGAAGCACGGCGGTGCTCCCGCCCGAGGGTTCGGATCCCACATACAGACCGGTTCCCGCTCACTGGCTGAGCGAGGCGCGGGAGCAACACCGAGGGTTGCGATCCCGTTGCCGGTCCCCGGTCCAGTACGGGGGCGACACTGAGGGTTGCGATCCGTTGCCGGACACGGAAAAAGACAAAAATAAATAAATAAATAAATAAAGGGTATAGACAAAAGTTCTGGTGATCTACTGTAAAGCAAGATGACTACAGTTAATCATAATGTATGGTATATTTCAAAATTACTAAAAGAGTGGAAATTAGATATTCTCAACACAACGAAATGATAATTATGTGAGGTGATGAATATGTTAATTAGCTTGATTTGATCATTCTACAATATACGTATATCAAAACATCACCCATAAATATACACAATTATGATTTATCAATTAAAATGAAAAAGAAAAAATTATGTACATTCAAAAGAATTTAATCAGCCACTAAATATGATGATGGTATGGAAAGAAATTGACATGCTATTTTTAAAAAGTAAATAAAAAAAAATATGCATCATAGCATGAATGTATTTTTATTAACCTACAGTCCATTATATTTCTATATTTGTAAAATATAAAGTCAGAAATAATGTATATCAAAATTTTAACGGTAGATATATCTGGTGATAAGATTTGGAATAATTTTAACTTTCATTTTTCTTTATATTTTCTTATATTTCCACAATTAGTATATATTACTTGTGTAAAAAAAAGTGAAAAAAGATTGATATCACAGAATCATATCAGGTGGTAAATAAGAATGCTCACTATTGCTAAGTGACACAAATAAATTACAAAACAGTATATAAGTATGTTCTCACTTATGTAAGAAAAATTATGTATATTAGGTTGAACCATTTGAAATTGCTTGCATTTTTCTGTTTTCTGTTTTATAAAAATAGCAGTTTCGAATAATTCAACTTAATACATATATCTGGGAAAATATACTCCAAAATGTTAATAGTATCCTAGGAGTTTTTTTCTTCTTCTTTAAGGTCATCTACATATTCTTCTTTAAATTCATTTATTTTTTTCTTTTACGTTTCAATATTTTCTAATTTTTCTAAAAACTAAATCCCAGTTTCAATATTTACAGGCCAGCAGACCCTAGGCAAGTCAACTGAACTCTCAATTTTCTCAAAAAACAATGGAAATATTAAGAATAGTACCTACCTCCAGGGTATGTTTAAGAATGAAATAAGATAATTCACGAGAGACAGTTTGTAGCACAGAGCCTAACACATGCATTCTGTCAATCAATATGACACATAATGTGGCAGTTAGGAAGAGAGATATGAAATCTGACTCCCTGGATCTATCACTTACTAATGGTTGTGCAAGTTATGTAACTTTTCTGTATCTCAGTTTTCTCAGCTACTAAATGCAAATAATCCCACAGAGTTTGTGTGAGGATTATATGAGATACCTGTTTATAAAGTATTTAGCATAGCACCTGGCAAAAAGGAAGTACTCAATAAGTTTTCACCATTTTATTATTAGTAGTAATAGTATTATTTTGATATCAGAGTAAATATATATTATTTGTATAATAAATCATACACCAACTCTAAGTTGATTAACTGTATTAAGTATGGTACCTGATATAGAGTTTATGTTATATCATTTTGGTTTTCGTGGATTCAGTTTCATTCCAGTGTGTATAACCTTACTAGTGAAAAATCCACGAGGATTATTATAGTCAAAAACTAGAATTCTATTATACTTTATATCCAACATTTCCAAAAAAATATTATAGTCCTAAATCCATTAATGAAATTTTCTAAATGACAATTAATAGATTATAACTCTCTTTTCCTTTCTAAATATCTTTGCCACAAATATATGACAGGGAGAACAACTCTTCCTAACCAAACTTCCCTACTCTCCAAACATGCACTTCTATAAGAATTAGAGAGACCAAGACCCAAAACCTTTCAGAATTCCAAAAGATAGGTGGAGTCTCCAAAGTTCAGAAGGCACAAAATAAGAAAAGGAAAAGAACTAAAGAGAGGAAGAAATGAGGAAGACAGAAGAAACAAAAAAGAAAATTATTACTGGAAAAGTCTTCACTTGGTTTTCAACCAGTAAATAAAGCCCACTTTCACATTTTCAATACATGTGGCTGCATGCTTGTAACTGACATCTCAGAACCATGTTTCATTCCACCCTCATAAGGTCTTATAGAATAAAATTTCACATCTTGGGATCTATTCCCTATTTGGGAGATATGCATGATTCCCTCTAAGAGCCACACAAAGAGGAAATAATCCATTATGGAAGGGCTGTTCTCCTACCTTAACTGCTTCTCCAAGAGTCTGGTTTTTGTCAGCTTCCTCGCTGGAGTGCAATTCAAGTCTGTAATTCAACTCCTGTAGTTGTTGTGCCTGTTCATTCAATAGCATTTGTGCCTGCTGTTCCCGAAGTAATGCATTATTTAGTTCTTCACATGCACTTTCAAACTTCTCATGGGTGATCAATTTCTTTAAAAAAGGGAGGAAAAAATCAGTTACAGCTAACTGCGTTGCTGTAGCATTTGCAGTGCTGTAGCATTTAATCTTCTGAACCATATTTGCTAACATAAAGAATACAATGCAAACACTTCTAAATGTCTGAAACATGACAAAAAATACAATTTGTTTTCCTTAATTTCATAAGTCAATATAAAAATATCACTCTGGTTTTTAAAGTACAACAGCCAAAATTCCAAAGTTATCATTTTTGGTCAAATAAAATCTTAGAAAATTAAATAAATCCAAAATGCTCAGTTTAAATCCTCATACATGGGAACTTTTTATAAAGACTATGATAGTGGGAATTAAAGCTTTTAACAAGTTGCTAGGCTTTTGAATGATTACCTAAAAGTCTATGTTTAGCATATGTTATCCTTCAGGTCTCTCTGGTCAAATGTTCTCTCCCTGGTGAGTCCTTACCAGACTATTCTTCCCTCACTCCCATCACCACTCACACTATGATACTATCCTGTTTTTTCTTCACAAGTATTTTGTCATTATCTAAACTCATATCACTTTTTTACTGTCTGTCCATGCCCTGCCAACCAACCACACACGTAAAGACATAGCTTCACTGAGCAGAGACCTTATTTAGCTTTTTTACCCAACACATGGAAGAGTGCCTGGCACTCAGTAGATGCTCAATAGATATTTGTTGAATAAAAGAATATTCATATATAAACACCTGCCAACAAAACTGTACAACATAATATACAACACAGTTTTTATAATATCATAACTGCTTTGGAGGGCCGGGCACTCTGCTCTATAATAATTAATGACAGCTCTAGACAGGGGCCATCCCTTAAAGGGTGTGGAATTCAGGGCAACACATGCTCGTATTACCTCCTGTTCAAATCGTTTAAACAAATGAAAATTAGTTACAACAAACAATAAGAGACATTTTAATCTTGAAGTACAAAGAAGAGGAATGTTTCATAAAAAGTACATAACCTCAGAAATATATGTGGAAAACTAAAGGAACCATGCAGGCCACTTAAACACTAAAAAAAAATTTTAAATCTAGGAGGGAAGAATAGAACAAAAATCCTATTGATTCTTGGCATCTGGAATGCATAAATTATTGCAGTTGAATGCAAACTTTATGTCTGAGTTTTCTGGCAAATAAGACAAAAATATAAATGTGCATAGTTACAAGTTTCCTCATGGGTCAACAACAGTAAGCATGCAGTGAAAGACTTTTGCTGGAACTATGTTTGAGAATAAATTTATTACATGAGTCCTTCTATATTATCATATTTTGGCACTCAATTTTATTTTGGCACCAGGTACCTTGCCTGCTACCTTTCTGAAGCAATTGTCTTTTACTCTTATTTCCCTTTCTAAGGGAAATTCACTGGGGTAGGGGGAGGGAACTATGACCTGACGAGTAATTCATGATTACTTGACCTGCCTAATTCATAGGAACTCTTTGCCCTTTGAAGGTATATCTACTTGAAATAATTATTAACAGTAGCAATTTACATGATCATAGGATTAACAACTAAACAACTAATTTGCCACTGCCTCTTACCACAAATATTAAAAATGTAAATTCCAAATTAACCAAAACATACACTTAACAGTGCACTTACTCTGAAGTTGGGTCTGCCAGAGAAGGAGGTACTAAAAGCAGCTTGTTGCTAGGTTTAAGAAACAAATTTTGTATCCATATGTACACTAGCTGTAATCAGTTGTACATAGTTTTTAAGTTTCACGGTAATCTCTTAACTCTATTTCCCTAAATCCACATTAAAAACTAAGCCAACTGCAAACAGAATATGTGAATATCTGCATTCTACTGCGCTTCATACATTTACACATTTTGAACTTGACTAAATGTCACTTGGCACATAGCCTTTCTTTTTCAGATATTTTCTGCTTTTTAAAATAATACAAACAAGCCTTTAATGGAAGTTAGACAAATTGAACATTTCTTTGGAAAAGCAACTCGATTTCATACTAAATCATCTAATTTACTCAAAAACATTCAACATAAGAAGAGAAGAGAGAAACATAAGGCTCCTCCATTGGAGGCATTTTAGAAGGGGAGTTTTCTAAAGAAAAAAATAATTCCTATTAATGGGACTTTGAATTATTTTGAAAAAACAAGCATAATAAATGTTAAGAAAAAAGACAGATAGAAAAATAGATACCACCAAAACCATAGTTTTCTAAATCATACATACTTACAGACTGCTTAAATTCATTTAATTGCATTTGGAGACCTTGGGCTTTGTCAAGCTCCTTTTTCATTTCGTTCACATTTCGTTTGAATTCTGTGACTTCTAGGCGCAATGAGCGGCGCTCCACTTCTGCTGCATGCAGTCTTTGTGTAAATCCAAATATATGCTTCTGTAACAACGCTGTGCTTTTCTGTTGTTAAACAAGAGAAACTTTACAACAGTAACCACAGATTTACTAAGAAATCATTAGCAATGACCATTTTTTCAAATTATACCAAAAAATAGTAGCTATTACTGAAACTTAGAGGTGAAATCTTTATTTTTTATGTGACCAATAATTTGGCTTAAATAAAATGAACACCTGAAGAAAAGAAATAATCTAGATGGCTAGAAAATAGAATTGGCAGTTGTTTATGTCTCATACAGTTCGGTTGCAGTGCACTTATAAAGAACAGTAAATTTAGAACTAATGCCATGACTTTGGTATTTTGATATTTTGGACACTTATTCAGAAGAGCTTTCATTTACTGTATTAAAAATTTGCATATGGGCCGAGCCCGTGGCGCACTCGGGAGAGTGCGGCGCTGGGAGCACAGGAGCGCTCCCGCCACGGGGTTCGGATCCTATATAGGGATGGCCGGTGCACTCACTGGCTGAGCATGGTGCTGCGGGTCTCAAAAAAAAAAAAAGATCTGCATGAAATCTAAAGAAAATCTAGGTACATTCATTTACAACTAATTTAAACTACGAATAAGGCTGTTTCAAAACTAAATCCTAAGATCACTATGAAATGAAATTGTGTACATACCATAATGGGCACATGGCCATGCAAACCATATTTCAGGGCCATTGTGTTTACTTTATGAAGTCCCCGGGCCAGTCTCTGAACCAGGGAATCTTTTTCTACATATGTTATACTCCTGCTACTGTGCAGAGGTATAGTCTCCATTGCCAGACTAATTTTATCCATGAGTTTTGCAAAAGAATTCTTGGCAGCACCTATGAGTAAATGTCCACCAATTCTGGAATTTGGATCTTCAAAGGAAAAAAAAAGGTGCAAAAAATGTGAATTATCTCTTGTTCATTTCACAATACTGTTGATCATATGATGAAAATACTTTTTAAAATTATATAATTCCCATTCACCTGCAGTAATTCATTCAAAAGTCCCCTCCCATATTAATTTCCATTATGGAAAAAGGAATGCAGAAAATAGCTCACCTACTAAACAATATTTCTAAAGAAAATCTGCATCTATTTACAGTATGCCATTTACACAGACCACTATAACCCTAAAAATTCATCACTCTTTTCTTTGCTTTAAAACCTAACATAAATCCATTTTCTATTTACAGCTACCAAAGCTTATTACCTTAATGCCATACTATTTATATTTTCAGACAAGAAAATATAATTTGTCTTATTCCACGGCAATTAAAATTTTACAACTACAATTACTTATTTCCCCACAGGACTTTGGTAATCATTCCTCTCATATAATGGACCTAAGGTCCCAGCATATCCACATGGCCTGCTTTACTGCTAGATTCATCAGGCCTGTAATTAATAATTGTGCTTAATGCTGATAAATAAAATTGTCAGTGTTCTCTCTACTAATTGGTATTGCAGATAATAGTTAATAGGTTTATTTATGCCTTAATAAAAGTCATGTAATTTTAGTTTTCCCTCTGCTAGGCAGGTCTTAATCTGTCATTACTTGTCTTATGATACTATCTGTGTAAAATGACAAGCATGGATAGATTATTTAAATCCAGTAGTATAACATTCAATATTTCAAAAGCCTTTACTGTTGGAATTAATTTAAAATCTTGTCTTTACATCATAAACACAAGAAGCAAATTGAGCCAGTTTTACCCAATTAAAAAATGTTTTATAATTGTAAGAACGCGTATGGTTCAACACTAAAGAGCAACATTGACTGAGAAGGTAATCAATCGGTGTTTTTCCATGGCATATAGAACTGTCTCATAGAGACCCTGTGTTTTAAAATTTGAGCTTTATTCTATTTCTTTCATTCCTCAATGTATAAAAGAAAGATAAAGTTTTAAATTTACGTAGCAGTAGGTGTTATACATAAAATAGAAATTATTAATTGGATAAAAGCATAATATCCTCCATGTAAAATTTATTTCTATCAGTTATTGATGCATCAACTTCTAAGAATATAATATGTAATGGCACTTCAAAAAGTTCATGGAAAAGTGGAATTAAAAGATAATATGAATCTTTCCATGAACTTTTTGGAGTGTGCTCAAAATATAAGGTAATATAAATTTAACTTATATATGCCACTCCCTATGAAGATACTCTCTGAGAATCCCATGGACAAAAGACATCCAAAGTATAATCAAAATATACAGTCCTTTTGTTAACAATCATACTCCTTAAATACATAGTGAGTGAAAAAGAATTTTGTAGCTTTATATAGTAACCAACATATAATGCAGAACACTGAGTTAAAGGAATTTCTAAACTACAGTATGCATTAAATAGGTCACTGCTGAATGAATGAACATACAGCACAATTTCTTTTGTCCAAAACATTCAATACAATACGTCATTTCAATACTTAATATATATATATTCCCTGTTTTCCCAACTAATTTGCAATTCTTTAACTTTGTCTTTTTTTTTATCTTGATAAACTCTTTTATTTTCTTTGTGCCAGCCTATTATATTGGTTATTTTTTTATATGTTTGTTGGGTTAATTATATTTCTTTTTACTTACATAGCAGCTGCAGCAATACTGAACACAAGAAAGCATTCAATAATACCAAGAGAAATTAATTAATATTAATTTTTATGATATATCAAAAGTTATTGTCTTTAAATAAACATAACATTTCATTGTTTTAGAAAATTTTCAAGAATATGAAAGTAATAAAATTTTCACAGATAGCCTTTAAAAGCAAAAATCGACTACAATTAAATTTTCATGAATAGTTTTTTATTATAGCACAGATATGTGATTGTGTAGACACTGACCACTCTGAAAGGTGAAATTAAATGACAATATAATTACACAAGGCATTCTCCTGAATTTTTAAGAAGTGTGAAAGAGACATACACTCTAAGTTCCTGACTGCTGACTCTCAATGAATTACAGTAAGAGCACCAAGTAATTTATTTTTTAATAGGAAGTGTTTTTACAATACAGTTCACATTATACAGAGTGCAATTAATTCTATATAATATAAATGAAGGAAAAAATCCCCTGGTGACATAGTTGTAAAATTATTTGTATAATAATATAGAAATAAGAAAGGAAAGGTCACAAAAATTCCTCATGTCTACTTGTCTAGACTTTAAATTTTTGGCTGATAACATTAAACAAATTCTGTTTATGTTAAATGCATTCGTTAATCACTTTTCCCCTATTTAATAACACATATCTGCCATGAAAGAAGCAGACCCTGTATTCTGAAATTACTTTTTCCAATGGAAGGAGCAAAATTATGTATCTAGGTTTAAAATCTTCAAAAAAGTTCATAAAGAATTGTTTCAGTCAGTGGTTCTAAACCAGTGGGCTGCAGGGGCATGGGATGAAAGTTATTGCAAGAGTTCCACCACTTTTAACTGCAGTAACCATTGCCATTTGATCTTTATTTAGCCCTAACAAAATATATGCATGAATAATAAATGCTCATGATGTTGTACATAATGAAATTAAAAGTCCTATGAAAACATTACAGAAGAAAACTGCTACCAAAACTACAACTATCAGGTGGAAACAGAGCAGTTTACATATCTTTTCTAATTAAAATAGAGTCCTCATATTCAGAAAGATTAAGAAACACTGCTTTAACCAAAAAAGGTATTAATAAGTAGTGCTAACAATAATGTCAGTAACGAGTGCAACAATATTAATAACAATGAATGGTAAATAACAATGAGTAATGTTAATAATATTAGAAATATTAATAATAAATATTGTTAACTGCATTAAATTCCAACTCAGTGCTACACACTTGGTTTCATTTTGTCATCCTTGACATCTCCATCTCCCTTGCCATCTCCCCAACACCCTGTCCTTAATATTTCTCCAATCTATTGCATTTTCTCTGTGATCATGGCCATATCTCACCTATATTATTACAAGAGTCTCCCTACTCGTCTCCAGTCTTTCCCCTTTTCAACGCATCCTCCACACTGCAAGTAGAATGGCTTGTAACACACAAATAGGATCTTATGCAACACCCCTCTGCTTTTAAGCCTCAAGGACTCTCCAGATCTATGAATAAACTTCAACTTCTTAAAACACTGCTCAAAAGACCTACAGACCTGGTTCCTGCTTACTTTCCCAGGAACATTTTTCACTATAATCCCTTATTTGTATGCAACTCCTTTCAAGTGACCCCAACACATCACAATCTTAAAGTATTTCCTCTGAGCAAAAATTACTCTTGTGTCTCCAAACTGCTAATAATTTGAGAAATACGCATGTGGACATCAGTTTTCAAACTTGAGCCAATTATTACAATAAGATGTCTGCTTCAAAGCGATGTTCTGAAAACCACTGTGAGAACAGCCCAGAAAACTGGGGAGGAAAAAAAGGTAATGAAAGAATTTGTCTTTTTTTTTTTTTTGTCCTTTTTTGTGACCGGTAAGGGGATCGCAACCCTTGGCTTGGTGTCGCCCGCACCGCGCTCAGCCAGTGAGCGCACTGGCCATCCCTATATAGGATCTGAACCCACGGTGGGAGTGCCGCTGCGCACCCAAGTGCCGCACTCTCCTGAGTGCGCCACGAGGCTGGCCCAGAATTTGTCTTATTTTAAAACATAAAGATATACGTTCATTAAAAGAGCGGTATGATACTGGTACTGGAAGAGATAGAGAGACTAATGGAGTAGACTGTAGAGATAGGAAATAGATCCAAGTACTTTCAATAATTTAATATATGATAAATGCCATATCTTAATAAAGGAAAAGATGAGTTAGTGAATTAAAAGTACTGCTGCTAGCTGGTCATCTGGACACAAATAAAGCTTAGTCATTTACTCACTACTTATACCAAAAATAATTCTTGATAAACTCAAGATTTAATATAAGAATTAAAAGTACTAGAGTAGAATACAACCTTGAGGTAAGACTAGCCTTTCTAAGAAAATCACCATGAGAAAAACTCTAAAAAAGAACACCCATAAATAAATAATAATTTAAACTATATAAAAATATCATAAAATTAAAATACAAACTAGAAAAATTACTTACATTATATATAGCAAAGTGTCAATATATGTGATACACATGGAGTTTTCATAATTCCATAAGAAACAAGCACACACCCCAAATATGAACATAACAAGATAATTTATAAAAATAAATATGAATGGGCTTAAAACTAATGGAAAGATACACAACCAAAGAATGGAAATAAGTGATAATATAGTCTTTTGCCTTTCACATTGATAAAGATGAAAAAGACTGTCAAACTTTGTGTGCCAAAGGTGTTATGGGTAAAACAGAACTCTCGACACTGTTCATCAGAGTGTAACGTAAACCGACCCTTATGAAAGGCAAACCAGCAATACATTCCAACTGTAAAATACCCAATTCCATTCCTTATGAATTCTAGCCAAGGAAATAATTGCACAAGTGTAAAATGATTTTATGAATAAACATTTAACTATAGCATGGTTTATGACAATATTGTTTAAAATAGTGAAAAAATGGAAAAATAATAAATATCCATCAACAGGAGATTCACTGAGTAAATTATAGTACATATATGCCATGCAGTAATATATAATGAAATACAATTAATGATTTAGATCTATTTTATGGACATGAAAATACACTCATTATCCACTGAGTGGAAAAAAAACAATTACATAAGGCATGACAGTAAAACTATGTAAAACTATGTGTGTCTGTATGTGTATATGTTTGTACACGTGTATGGGAGATTTATAGAAATCATCAAAATGTTAAGATTGGTTGGAGATGACCCTTTGGGTAATTTTTACTTCTTCTGTGCTGGTTTTTGAACTGTGTGAAGGTTTTACACTGAGCA